ACACATACATACAAACATACATACATACACACACACACATACATACATACATACATACATACATACATACATGCCTCTGCTCGGAATGCTGTGCTGCCTTACCTCCTCCATGCCGGTTCACTTATGTCGCAGTTCGTGCATGCCGGTTCACCGCCCTCGCTAGCAGGCAGTACCAGTGCGGGCCTCTTTGTACATTCCAAGGCATATCATACAGCACAGCAACTTATGCGGTGTAAACGACACCAGATGGTACTGCAGGCTCGCATGACATTTCAAGCTGTGTGCCATGGTGTCAAGTTACAACTACATGAGATCTTCCGCAGCACATTATGTCAGAGCATGTGCAATTGGCCGTGCAAGATGGGGAACGTTGGATGATTCAATAAGCCTACTGAAACAAAAGCAGCAAGGGAAGCGCTGAATCCCCGGAAGGGTGTCATGTGCCTGCAAGGTGGCATCTGCAGCTCTCTGAACCCGAAGCTCTGAAGCTGATGCCGATGCCCTCTGGCAAGGGTGCCGCGGCGGGGGGCTCTTTGAATCTGTGATTACCCGAGGTCCCTGTCTGGGATCCATGTGACACTTAATCCCTGCACCTAATCCCTGCAGCCAAGCGTCGCAGCTTCACTACCAGACTCATGAAGTCCTGGCGTGTTTTTTTTTGTGAAAACTCAATCCCATGTTTCGCTTCAGGGCTAAGGCTTGGTTAGGCCGGGTATGCGGGATTACACCGGGTCAGTCCCTCAGAAACCGCAGCCGAATCTCGCAACTCGCTTTGCTTTGCCAGCCCCGCTTCCAGAGATGCCTCTGCTTTGTCTGTTGCCTTCAGAAACTCTGCGCGGCTTGCTCTGTTAAGGGTGGAAACTGGGGTGTGCCGTTTATGGATTTCAGGTTCAGTTCCAGCGGCAATCCTAACAGCGGATCCGAAGCTCTGAAGCGAAGCCGGCTTACCGCGCAGGCTGCGCCTGCGGCTGGCGCAGCCACCGGCCGCGCTTGGCTGCAGGACGGCGCAGGGACTGGAGATGCGGCACGGAAAGGTCCGCCGAAAGCCTCCAAAGACCAGACACATCGAGAGAGGCCTGTACCTTTGCTCCGGCGTGCATGTGCACCTATTTAGGTATTGCGCTGGAGTTTGGCCCGGAAATTTTCCCTGCCTACAAAAGTCGGCATCGAAGAGAAGGATACTCCCCCCTCTCCTCCACATTGCTTTCATTGAATCTCCCGGCGCTGCATTCACCTGCTAGGCCCCCGGCAACTCTGCACCGCAGCGTGGGCAGCACGGGCGACTGCCTGTTCGGGTTGGAGTTGGACCCCTGAACCCCAAGCCCCTCTCAGGGCCCCTCAACCCCTGCCTTACCTACCCTACTTGTGCTACAGAAGGAGCAGTGCTGGTTCCTTGGGAAGTCCGAGCCTCTCAAGCTCTCGGATTCCGTCGTGTTGCAGAAGGCGCAGAGGAGCAGGACTTCTCTCGGAGCCTCTCAGGAAAGGACTGCAGCAGATCTTGAAGAAAAACGAGCTGAAGAGAAAGATGAATATGAACTTGCGGGTCTACATAGGGTCTACGCAGGGCTTGGGACTTCAGGCTCCTGCTTTTGACAATTGACAGGCCTCCCCGTCTGTGGATTACCGCACAAACAAATCCTTCCGGCTACTCGGATGTTCCAGATCCGATTGAAGGGTGCATAGAGGCCTTACAATCAGGACATACAAAAGTATAGAGGGAACGCCGTCGTCTCTACTTCGTTGGACGTCCCGTTCCTCTGCCACTGGCCGTGCCCGAGTGCGGCCGAAGACAGGTCGGCGGCGGAGAGGATTGGGTGCCGATTCCAAGGGTGTTGGCAGCGCTGCCAGAGACCTTGCCAGGGGCTTTGTCTAAGTTGGTGCGGTTCCGCAAGGTTACCTCTTTGTGAAGCGCTTTCCTTTCGCAGTTGGGTCTTGCAAGATCTATGCTGAGCTTGGAACCGTGGCAGAAACTATCACTTCAGCTGTTTCTTAGGGATTATAACCAGTGCGACCGGGCAGCTTCACCCTTGTGCTGATCTGGAATACCTGGGAGCCGATAAAGCCATGGGCAAAGACACCCGTTGCAAACCTCTCTACATTTCTCATGCTGAGCTGTTGATGTGAATTCAGTTTGCGTGCATCCATGTGTACGCACATGCATCTGTGCATGCTCGTTTTGCTTGGTCGGGATGCGTTGGTCGATATTTTGCAGGTGCCTATCGGCACCCTGTCACATTTGCAGACATAGATCCTGGACACTTTGCTGATGCGCCCGCCCTTCTTTTTCATTCTTTTCTGACGCTTGAACCCAAGTCCCCAACTCCAACATCCGAAGCCCTGAACCCTTGAACCATCACAGAGACGTCGGCACAACTAGTAGCCATAATGCTCCCTGAAAGTCCCTGTACTCCTATACACTTGACAAAGAATCAATACACCCAAAACCCATCCACTTCAAATTCGATGTATTCCGAGCAGCCCTCCACTCCCAACAATCTCAACCCTGAAGAAAAAGCTCCCAACTTCCCGAAACTCAAGCCCCGCAGAAAGCCTTTAGCAGCCGCTCGAGCCCCAGCTCCCACCACCCCACCCTCGCCCACACACACAAAAAAAAGACTGCCCGAAACGCCCAGGGTGCCGGATCCAGCATAGGCATCTCCTGGTGGTGGAGAGAGAACCGATGGATTGCTCTCGGCGTGTGTGCCGTTGCTTTTTGCTCAATACTTTGCAGGAGATTGTGGAGATTGTCAAGGGCTCTGCAGTTTGGGCTTCGGGGAGGGAGTGTCTGGGGGTTCTTGTAACTTGCGTGGTCTCGTTGGGGTCGGGGCTTACGCACAAACCACTAAACCCGCCCCCCCCCCCTCAAACGATGCCTCAAAGCCGAACCTCCTAAACCCCGGAACCGCTTCGACGTCGCTCTGCTCCGTGCCTCCTCACCACCCTCGTCGCCCCCGAGCACCGCAAAAGCGATCAAGGCGCCCAGGGCCGATGCAAGGGACGCCTCGGTAGAGACTCCACGCAAGCTTTTTTGAGGGTTCTCTTAAAGGAAACTCCAGGTGGGGAGTTTAGGGTATATGGACCTTCTATAAGGCAGCTAAAACGGTAACTGCCCACCTGAAAATGTCCTAGATTTTCGGTGTACTGCAGGGTCAGGTGATTATAGGGTTTGCAATGTGGATGTTGGTGGTTGCCCCGTGTGGCCTCCTTCTCCGAAACCTTTGCTCCTTTCAAGGTCTTCTGAAGGCCTGAACCCCAGAAGGAGCTCCCAACCACCACTCCCTAAACCCCTGAACCCTAAA